TGGGACAATCCCTGCCGGGAATGGGGACACAGGGACACCTCAGGGCTTATGGAGACCCTGCTGGTCCTGGGACAATCCCTGCTGGGAATGGGGACAGCCCGGGGCTCATGGGAACCCTGCTGCTCCTGGGGATCCCTGCTGGGAGAGGGGACACGGGGACATTCTGGGTCTCATGGGAACCCTGCTGCTCCTGGGACAATTCCTGCTGGGAATGGGGACACGGGGACATTCTGGGTTTCATGGGGACCCTGCCGGCCCTGGGACAATTCCTACTGGGAATGGGGACAGCCTAGGGCTCCTGGAGATCCTGCTGGGAATGGGACAATCCCTGCCAGGAATGGGGACACAGGGACACCTCAGGGCTCATGGGGACCCTGCTGGCCCTGGGACAATTTGTGCCAGGAATGGGGACACAGGGACACCTCAAGGCTCATGGAGACCCTGCTGGGACAATCCCTGCTGGGAATGGGGACAGCCCGGGGCTCATGGGAACCCTGCTGCTCCTGGGGGAATCCCTGCTGGGAGCGGGAACACGGGAGTGGGTCTCATGGGGATCCTACTGGCCCTGGGACAATCCCTACTGGGAATGGGGACACGGGGACACCTCAGGGCTCATGGGGATCCTGCTGCTCCTGGGGATCCCTGCTGGGAGCAGGGACATGGGGACATTCTGGGTCTCATGGGGACCCTGCTGGCCCTGGGACAATCCCTACTGGGAATGGGGACAGCCTAGGGCTCCTGGAGATCCTGCTGGGAATGGGACAATCCCTGCTGGGAATGGGGACACAGGGACACCTCAGGGCTCATGGGGACCCTGCTGGCCCTGGGACAATTTGTGCCAGGAATGGGGACACAGGGGCACCTCAATGCTCATGAGGACCCTGCTGGGACAATCCCTGCTGGGAATGGGGACAGCCCGGGGCTCATGGGAACCCGGCTGCTCCTGGGGATCTCTGCTGGGAGAGGGGACACGGGGACATTCTGGGTCTCATGGGGACCCTACTAGCCCTGGGACAATCCCTGCCGGGAATGGGGACATTCTGGGTCTCATGGGGACCCTACTGGCCCTGGGACAATCCCTGCTGGGAATGGGGACACGGGGACACTTCAAGGTTCGTGAGGACCCTGCTGGGACAATCCCTGCTGGGAATGGGGACATTCTGGGTCTCATGGGGACCCTACTGGCCCTGGGACAATCCCTGCCGGGAGCGGGCACACGGGGACAGCCCGGCGCTCACCGAGGCCTGCCGGTGAGTGTTGGAGAGGATCCCGTGCACCTTCACTTGGCTCCTGTTGGCCGCTGCCATGTCCACCCAGAGCCCCCGGCGCCGCGCCTCCGCCGGGCCGTAGATCCGCGACACRTAATAGCTGTGATTGTCCTCCTGCGGGGACACGGGTGACACGGAATGGTGGCACGGGGTGACATGGAATACTCAGTGGGGAGGGACACGGGTGACAGGGAATGGTGTCACAGGGTCACACAGAGCGCTCCGTGGGGATGGGACACGGGTGACACGGAGTGCTCAGCGGGAGGGACACAGGTGACAGGGGATCGCAGGATAGGGTGACCTGGAGTGCTCTGTGGCAGGGACACGGGTGACAGGGAATGGTGGCACGGGGTGACACGGAGCACTTCCTGGGAGGGACACGGGTGACAGAGAATGGCTGGACAGGGTGACATGGAGTGCTCAGCGGGAGGGACACGGGTGACAGGGAATGGCGGGAGGAGGGGACCCAGAGTGCTCCGTGGAGATGGGACACGGGTGACAGGGAATGGTGGCATGGGGTGACACGGAGCACTCAGCTTTGAGGGACACGGGTGACAGGGAATGGCTGGACAGGGGGACAGGGAATGGCTGGACAGGGTGACATGGAACGCTCAGCTGGGATAAAGGGTGACAGGTGACAGGGAATGGCGGCACTGCGCTCCCGAGCAG